AAAAGCGCTATATAAATCCAATCCATTATTATTATTATTAAATTGTCTCTCAAAAAAATGAACTCCAATTTAAAGGCCTGTCCCAATCTACTTGCTTGGTTTCTCTGAAGTACCCGTTTAAAAGTCCATCCAATTTAGCGGTTCGGTTTGTTGGAAGCCTCACAGATAAGGTCAGGGAGCGAGTATTAAATACAGTGTTTAGATTTGTGCAGCGCTTGAGCGGTCACAGCTGTCAGAGCATAAGTAAAGTGAAGAAGCTCTCTGTAGCGTGTATCTCTTTTAAAAAATGCTCTTCTTCAGGAAAATACATTTTTCATTCATTTGTGCTAAAAAAAAATTGTTTGAATTAATGCAAAAATTATTTAACAACATTACTAACAAATGAATGCCGTATCTATGCTGCTGTTTAACCATACCCTGACAACATGAAATGGATTTCAAAAACCTAATTTCTGGAGGTGAGGCAGGCAACTCACTGAGGTCCAGTGCAGCTTTGTGGAGCACTTGAGCACTCAGCTCTTTTCAGTGAGCTCAGGCCCTTAATTACTTCGTAAAGGTCAAGACGGGCAGCCATGAATATGCTTATCCACCACCATCTTTGGATGCTGCACAGGTGAGCACTCGAAGCTGACAATCAATCATGGGTCACACGGGACAGGCTCCTAAGTTCCTGCTCACCACATCAACCCCATAAACCACGATTTTACAGCAATAGCTGAGTGAGGAGAGACGTCACTACTGCAGGCTGCAGTGAATAATTTCTGATGCGGTGTGGACCTCTTGATTTACATCAGCACATTAGCTTAGCGCTTGAAATAATTTTTGCAGTCAGGTGACAGCTAACAGAAGAATATGGTAATGGGCCAGTATTAGCAGCAGGTTTCCTTACTCTGCCTTGTAATTTCAAAACAAATTCTACTTTTAAAAAACGCATACACTGTTGTTCACATGGTATATTGATGTTTCACTGACCACAGCTCCATTTTGAGTGTGAATTCTGAATACAAAGTAAAACCATTTATTACCCATGCCAAAGCATTGCTCAAGAGATGGCACTGTGGACTGTTCTGTCTGTTGCTTGATCCAACGCTTTGGCTCAGTATGACGCAGACTCAACAACAGCTTGATGGCTTGCTTCAGCAGTGGCAGTAGTACACACATTTATGGTTCCTAAGCAGTAAATCTAAGGCTCTAGCCACATTGCAAATGCAATAATATCAGATTTTATTTTCAAATAGATTGTAAAATGAGTGCACTCTGTCTTGACACTGGATTGGCCGAGGCTTTTGTACAGAAATTCTTCATCCACGGATGATGACTCTGACTTTGGTGACCCATTGGTATTTACTCCAGTGACATCATGAGGCTGACATTTGTGCTTTAAGGTGAAACACTACAGGAAAAACACATTTTATTCATGTACAGGTCACTTTTGCGTTTTTGCGCTATTTTGCAAACGTAATTCAATTCAATTTTACTTGCTCGCATAAAGACTGAATTTTCCTTAGTAAATAAAAAGGTCATGCTTTTTATCATAAACAAATATTTAATTCTATGCAATATAGTGGAAAATACCACAAAGCAGATGAAATACACACTGAGAAATAGAGTTCTTTTTCTGTTTCACACAAGAGAAAAGATGATGTGAAGCAACACAGTATATG